ATAATTTCCTGCAGGATAAAATAAAAGTCATTGATAATAAGAATACTAACATCTATTGTTTAAGTAGTAGGGTTACTGTTACAATCGTGGATTTTTTTTTTTTGAGACTCTGTCATTCAGGCTGGAGTGCAGTGGCACGATCTCGGCTCACTGCAACCTCCACGTCCTGGGTTCAAGCAATTCTCTGCCTCAGCCTCCCAAGTAGCTGGGATTAAGGGTGCCCATCATCACCCTCGACTTAATTTTACAATAGTGGAATTTAAGGACATGTTCTGGTTATTTTATAAATTGCATTATTCTGTCCTGTATCTTTGAAACTGAATAATAGATTTCTTAAAGGAAGCGATAAGATATTAGTTAGAATAATCAGCATCTTTGATAAATAAAATGACAACCGGTAAAACTGCCAACTTGCTGCATGAGAAAAGCATTGTATTATTCCCACCGTGGAGGGAGGATAGTGACGTGAGCTAAGAATTAGGGAAGCGAAATTGTTGGCAAAATCAGCCTGTGTCTTCATGAAACATTGTCTTGGATGACATTTCACCTGGTCACCAGTGTCTTCCCATGACACCACCTGTTTTCTTTCATGCACCCATGGGAAGGAAGCCAGAATGTTTGATTCTGGCAGATTTTTTACAAATTGAATTAAAACCAACTGACTGAACTTGATGAATTGAGTGACAAAATAATCCCTGTAGGATAATCTTCTCCACCTGGTAGTGATGCACTGACTTTGAGGCTAACGATGCAGGTGGAAAAAAAAATATCTTTGCTTTGACAACCTCTGTCCCTAAACAAAGTACGGTGCAGAGAAGCGGTTAAGAACCCAAACCCTGGACTCCAGCAGAGTAGAGTTAGACTACTTTCTAGCTGGGCAAACTTGAGTAAGTTAACTTCTTCAAGAATCTATTTCTTTCTATGCTAGATGAAGTCAACTCTTTCAGAGGGCTGAAAGAAAAAAGCGAAATGAGATCATATATATGAAATGCTTAGCATGGTGCCTGGCACGTAAGTGCTTAATAAACAATTGCAATTAGTATTATTAACTCTAATCAGATATTGTTGTTTTAAGCAAGAGAGTTAATCAAAAAGGTATATGTAGATTTCTCTGTAAGAAATATATATGTATATATATATATGTTTACACACACACACACACACACACACACACACAGAGAAAGGTCTTAATGCCTCCTTTCTCAAATCAAAGCAAAAATCTATTTCCTTGTCTAATAACATGTATTTAATTTGAGAACTAGGCCTTCCAGTCCATGGATTTAATTCTACTCCTGGCCTGCTTAAATTAGAAGGAGCCTCCAGGATAGAAGAGCAAGACATACAGGTACTTGTCTACCTATATACAACAAGATATATAGGTTTTTATTTGCATATTCAGAAAAAAATCGATTTTTTACCCATATATTCATTCAAGACACATTTATTAAACACCAAATTGGTAGCCAGAATAAACATATTAAGATAATTTTTCTCTGGGAAAAATACACGTTATTTTCTATACTTCTTATCTATAGATTCTGCCTTAATGTTTATTTGCATCTTGCAAATTTCCATGTTACTTTCTGGCTCAAAAAAACCTATGTCAGGCTGGGCATAGGAGACGATTTCATGGAGAGTTAGAACATTTTCTTAAATATGTGTGTAATATATCAAAACCAAGAATAAAAGCAATGCCTAAAAATAAACTCATTTGAGTTACAGGAGTAGAAATGGAGTGCCTAGAATGTCCCTGGTAAAATGTGCTCACCAGACACAGTAACTCACGTCTGTAATCTCAGTGCATTGGGAGGCCAAGGCGGAGGGATCATTTGAACCCAGGAGTATGAGACCAGCCTGCAAAATATGGTAAGACCCCCACCTCTACAAAACATTTTAACAAAATTAGCTGGAGTGGTGACACACATTTGTCCCAGCTACTCAGGAGGCTGTGGTGGGAGGACTGCTTGAGCCCAGGAGGTCAAGGGTGCAGTGAGCCATGATGGTGCCACTGCACTCTAGCCTGGGTGACAGTGAGACCGTGTCTCAGAAAAAGTGAAAATAAAAGTAAAGAAATAAAGAAAAATGTAAAAGCCCACCTCATATTCGAAAACAAGGTCTGTAACACTAATTTCATGTCAAGTCAAAATCACAGAATATCCAATGTTTGTGAACATTTTAAAAAGGTTTCTAGAGGAATAAATAAATGCTAGCACTCATTCTATTAGTGAGCAATTGTATTTTTTGAAGTGGAAAATCTAGAATGTTTCATGTCTAACCCAGAGAATCTGATATGCCCACTAATAGAGATCCAGTCCAGTGATATATAACCTTCACGCCTGACTTTGGATTCTATCGATCGTGTTTCTCATCCACTGTATTTCAGTGAATTTTTGTATTATTATCTTTTTTTGTAGAGCTGGGGTTTCAACATGTTGCTTAGGCTGGTCTTGACTTTCTGGGCTCAAGTTATCCACCCACCTCAGCCTCCCAAAGTTCTGGGATTATAAGCATGAGCCACCATGCCTGGCCAGAATGGCTATTTTTAGAAAGATAAAAAATAACAGATGCTGGGGAGGACGCAGAGAAAAGGGAACTCCTATACACTGTTGGAGAGGATGTAAATTAGTACCTCCTCTATGGAAAACAGTATGGATGTCTCTCAAAAAACTAGAAATAGAACTACCATATGATCCAGCAATCCCTCGACTGGATATTTATCCAAAGGAAAAGAAATCAGTATGTCAAAAAGATACCTGTACTCACATAGTTACTGCAGCCCTAATCACAATAGCCAAGATACGGAATCCATCTAGGTGTCCATCAATGGATGAATGGATTAAAAAAATGTGATGCTGATACACAATGGAATATCACTCAGCCATTAAAAAGATGAAATGCTGTCATTTGCAGCAACATGGTTGGAACTGGAGATTATTACGTTAAGGTAAACACAGAAAGACAAATATCACATGTTCTCACACATATGTGGGAGCTAAAAATGTCAATGTCATGAAGGTAGAAAATAGAATGATGGTTACGGGGGGCTAGGAAAAATGTGTGTTAGGGCGGGGGCGTGAAGAGAGGTTGGTTAATAGGTACAAACATGCAGTTAGATAAAGGGAATAAGGTCTAATGTTCCATCTCAGGGTAGGGTGACTATAGTCAACAACGACGGATTGTGTATTTCAAAATAGCTAGAAAAGAGGACTTGAAAGGATCCTAACACAAAGTAATGAGAAATACTTGAGGCAATGAACACCCCAAGCATCTTGACTTGCTTACTATACAGTATGTGCATGTAATAAAATATCACTTCTACCCCATAAATATGAACAAATACTTGTATCAATAAAAAATTTTAAAAACAATAAAAAGCCCAAATGGTAAAATTCCACTGTACTAATCATCTCTTGATTACCAACCCAAAACATCTAGCAGGCAAGTTCTGGCTTATGTCCCAAGAAAAGCCGTTGCTTACATTAGCAAATTGAGGTTTTCAGCTCAACATCCAAAATGGAATGGAAGACACAGCTAGTTAAGAAGTGGTACTGACACAGTTATCTGCCAAGTGTGTCAAGGGAGAAGCACTTTGAAATAATAGACAGCAGACTCCACTTGGTATTGTGAAAATAATGTGTGATAAAAGGTCCTGTGGATGAATTTTGCACCTGACATCATTTTGTACCTAGGAAAGTGATTTGATACATAGAAACACTAAAATATGCCACAGCGCATTTTTATTTATAAAGATAATTCACACAATCTTTTTTAATTTGCAGAAAATCTTAACTATTAGAAAGTTTTCAGCAGAGCTGGGAAACTGAAAACTTTCCTGGGGAAGCAGAAACCCAGGTTCTGTTACTTTGCTCCTGGAGACTTGAGCTTTTCTTGAATGTGAATTGGAGACCTCTTGGCAGGTAGGGGAAGAAGCCCAGTCCCCTACAGTCCTGATTTATCCACAGGCGAAGTACAGCCTGTAGAATTGAAGATTTTACTGAATTGCCTTAATTTTATGTTTTACCACTGCTCTGAGGCCAAGTCTCCTGTGGCTAAAAGACCAGTTTACAATTCATTACCAGAATAACCTGGGGCTTTCTCTAAAAATGGAGCATCTTCCCACAGGAATTACACTGCTGTTACCAGATAATTTCAGCCAGACGAGAAAACAGTCTGCAGCCAAGAAATTTAGGTCAAAAAGTGCCCTGGTGAAGACATATGGGGAATTCGAAAGGAAGATGTGAAATAATATCTAAACATACACTGTTATAGAAATGATGTGGGACATCACATTCACAATGGGGCGTTGATTTTGCCCCAGGGGACATCTGGCAATGTCTAGTGATAATTTTGGTTGTCACAATTGGGGGTGACAATGATGGTACTCCAGGCATCCAGTGGGTAGGGCCCAGAGATGCTTTTAAAACATCCTACAGTGGACAGGACAGCCCCACAAGAAAGACTTATCCAGCCCAAATGTCAACACTGCTGAGCTGGAGCAACCCTGTGTTAGAGAAACCTACGTAAGTTTGTATTTTTAAAAGCAGGACAAAGTCCTAGGAGAGGAAAAATGAAAAGAAAAACATGAAGGCCTTTTAAATACACACACACGCACACACACACACACACACACACCTTGGATGTTAGCTTTTAATTAAGCTGATTTTTAATTATTGAGCTCCTTTTAAAAAAATCTTTTTATATCTCATGAGTATATTTCAGCTAGGACAAATTGCTGCTCTTTCAGAAGTTCCAGCGTAGGACTTCCTGAGGCTGTGTCACACGTGCATCCTTAACCTTGGCAAAATAAACTTTCTAGATTGATTGAGACCTGTCTTGGATACTTTGGGTTCACAAACTGGTAATCATGAAGGGACTCTGAGTGGGGTGTCCGTGACCTTTGACAAACCTGTCGGTGGCTGGTACCAGCTTGAGCTATCCTATGGCTCAAACCAGTAGGACACTTTGAGGCTGAGGAGCCCCCTCCCTCCGGAGAATAACAGGACACTTTGCTGAGGCTGAGGAGCCCCCTCTTCCGGAGAATCACTGATCTCTCAAAATTTGGTCAAGTTCTACAGTTTACTTTGCTGTATAACTCCTTTTCTGGAGTTTTGCTGGCTTTCAACAAGGAAGGCATGTTTTCCTGCTTCCATGACGATGGAAGGCAGGCAGCTCCTGTCTGGACGTTCCGCTCACTTCCAACAGGGAAGCCAAGTCTGAGCATTCTTTGTTTCTAGGATGGCAAGCACAGCCTTCAGCCTGGGCCCCACTCCTAGGTAAGTAGCTGATCTGTGGTTTTTTTTTTTGTCTTGGAAATTCTTCTTAATGACTAAAGTTAAGATTAACAACCAGCTGCTCTTCATGACTCTACTGTCAGAGGCTCAGTAGTGGTGTAACTTGTGCAGCTGTTTGTTTTGCTTTACTCTTCTGTTGTTGTTTGTTTCTGTTTTGTTGTTGTTTTCGTCTTTTTCCTACTGGGTCTGACCAACTCTATCAACTTCATCAAATCCAGAGAAAAGTTTCAAATTACGGAGAACAAGGCCTCTGAATTGGCTAAATTGCCTGCAGCTGGAAAAAAAAAGGGGTTGGCGGGGAGGAAAAAATGGCCAGCAAAAGGAAAAAAAAAAGGGAATGATTTTTGATTTTGACTACCCTAGGGGCTTTATTTCCATGACAAGGCCACCTTTTGCTAGCCAAGCCCAACTGAGAGAGCCCTGGCTGCCACCCGCACTGCCGTTCAGTAGCTTAGTTCTGCCCCCCATTTTTTTTTCACTACAACAGCTTGGGTTTCATTCCTAAATCAAGTCCTTTTTGGCTTGATATTTGTGCTACTTTTGAAATAGCAGCAATTTGTTTCAGCTAAAATATGGTAATAAGATTTTTAAAAATTTGTTTTAAGGAGCTCAGTGGTTAAAAGACAGTTTAATTAAAAGCTAATATCCAAGATATGTGTCTGTGTGTGTGTGTGTGTGTGTGTGTGTGTGTGTGTGTGTATTTAAAAGGTCTTTATTTTTCCTATTGTAGAACATTGCTTTTTTTAAGAAAAAGGTTTTTTTTTTTCCCTTCTCAGTCAACTAAATTCTGTTTTCTCCGTTCACTTCTGCCTCTCCTTTCTCTCGCCACCCTCTGCTACATGACAGATCTAAAATATTTTTCGACAGCCTGGGATTCCTTAAAGAAAACAGAGAAGATGTCAGACTTCCCTTTGGGGTGAAACCTCCATTTTTTATTTTGGAACCCTTAAAGGGTAAACAGACAAGTTCATCCCAGATCTGAAATTGCTTGCTTCTGTATAGTGTTACCTGATTTTTTTTTTTCTGACTAAAATAGTTACTACAGCAGAGGCTACTCTTGGGTGTTTAATTTAAGGAAGAGTGTGGTTTAGACACTTAGAGAAATGTCTTTGTTAAAAAATAAGTGCACTGTAAAAGCATTGTGTGTTCTAGTCTCATAATAATGATCTGTTTTTGGAGACCCAGGATTCAGTGTGGGCTCTGCCCAGATCTCTGAGGTCCAGTTAAAAGACAGACTAAATTTAGAACTACCTGTCCAAATAAAACGTGTCTCCTTCTACCATCCTATGGTCGGCTTCCATAGCTTCATGTTTGATTTGGCATCCATTTTAATCTCCCTCTAGCACGTCAGACTCTTTCTGTACTTTGAGATGTAAACTTTAATGTCTGATTTTCCCCTTAAGAGTTGTTACCTTAATATGCAAATTTAGGGCTACTTGGCTAGCAACTGCCTAGGGTAATAAAACAGGTTATCAAGAAATTGGAAATCTAAAATAGGAGGAAAAAAGAAGAGGGCTTATGAATGTATAATATCTACTTCTATCTGCACATGTAATATATCGATATATTTATGTGTCATGTATACGATGTTTCACTACTAAAAAGATACAAAAGAGCTCTAATCAACAGGCTTAAAGAAAAAAAGCACTTAAATCAAACTATCAGAAAAAAATGGAGACTTTAAGGCTTTTTCAAGTTCACATGACTTAAGTAAACCATTAATAAAGATGCTGATTTAAAAAATATTAGTGAAATAGAATTGGAAATGGGTTCAAAATTGTCAACACACATCATGGTTTAGATTGACTGATCAAGTGTTTTTATATTTTTCTTTGCTAGGTGTCAAAATTTGGCAGGAGTGTTACAAAGCTATCAAATAAGACATTTAATTCTGTTTGGTTAATGAAAACAGCTAAACCCTGAGTTACTGGCAAAACAGAAAAAAAAAATCTCATTTATGTAACCTTAGGAAAACCTTAAATTCACAGGCTATAAAAATAGTTAATGGGGAAATAACTTCAAATGATAACTATCGCAGTTTTCATAAGTAATCTATTATGAAAACGATTTTAAATAATTAATTAGGTAAATGTAATGGCATAAATGCCTGTAAATAGACTTGTCATATAGTTTAATATCTAGAGTTATGTTAACTAATAGATTCTAAATAAATACCTAATTTCCAATTAAAAAAATTGTAGGAAAACATTTTTCTAAAAAGTGTGTTCTTAAATGAAAATAATTTTTGTCTAACTTAGAGGTTACTTAAAATTTATTTATGATGGCTGGGCACAGTGTCTCACCCTTGTAATCCCAGCACTTTGAGAGGCTGAGGTAGGTTGATCACTAAAGGTCAGGAGTTCAAGACCAGCCTGGCCAACACAGTGAAACCCTGTGCCTACTAAAAATACAAAATTTACCCGTGTGTGGTGGGGCATGCCTGTAATCCCAGCTACTTGGGAGGCTGAGGGAGGAGAATCTCTGGAACCCACAGGCAGAGATTGCAGTGAGCCGAAATCGTGCCACTAACTCCAGCCTGGGTGACAGATCAAGACTCTGTCTCAAAAGAAAAAAGAAAGAAAAAGTTATTTATGAAACAACATGAATGTAACCAGTAAATAAGAGCAATATAAAGAGAGTTATAAATGTGAAGAGGATTTTTTTGGCAAGAAAGGTTAAAAGGAAAATAATTTTGTATGAGAAAGAATCTTGTACAGCAACTTTTTGTCCTCAAATAAAATGACTAGTTATTTCTTTTCTTTTTTTTTTATTTATTGTTATCTTTTTTCTTTATTATTTCTTTCTACTATTTTCTGCTGGCAGGAAGTGACTGGTGATTTAAGAAAGGGGGATGTCTAGAATAAAACAGGAATTCCAAGCATGTATAAATGACTTGTATTGAGTTTTCTATAATTAAAGGGAAATTATTTATAATAGTCTTTCTGGAGATTGGGTTCGATATAAAAATACACTTATACACTAAATAATTGGTTAGAACAATGACATGTTAAAATGTACTGGTTGACTCTTAATAAAATTACAAGCGATTTCAATTTTTTAAAACTCAAAGTTCAACTCTTACTGTGTCTTGCTGTTTTCAGCTTTCCCTCACTTTTGAAAAGGCCTGAAATAGTAACTCTCTCCTTCAACTCATTTTCAGCTCCTGGAATTTTTTCCTTCAGGTTGTTTCTTGTGGCTTGAGGCTAAAAATGTTTTGTCTAAGTTCTAAAGGAAATGTTTTCTTCAAACATAACATTCTGTGCTCTTGGCTTTTAATTGTTCTATGAATCTGAAAATTTGCACTGATTACCCAGGAAACACTCTTCTAATGTCTAACGAATTGAAGTATTCTTTCATTAGTTTTGACTTGCAGGTTATCTAAGTGGGTTCCCCGTAGGGAACAACAATCACACTGCAGAAGGTCTACTCTTTGCCTTTTGGTAACTGGCCTAACAAACAAATTTCATGTTTTATTGAAATAGTTCCTACGCCGTTGGTATTTAGTTCTGATTTTGCTTAGAAACAGCAGCCTGAGGTTTTTTTTAAACTTACGATTGTTACATCCATATAACTTTCTGTTTTTTGCTTTAAAGGCCTTGTGTCATTAAGTTACAGGGCTTTGACTCCTGGTTCTGAAGGGACATCGAGCCCTGCTAAATCATAAATACTGGCAGCAGTTAAAGCCGTGTCTTCTGTCAATCAAAATAAACTGTGTTCAGAAGACACAGGGCCAGAGGTTACAACTGCTCAACTCCTCAAGGCACAGGGAGCTATTGTGGAAGAAGTAGGTACATGAGATTGGAAGTGTCGATTTTGAGAGATAAAATTAGTTGTTTCTCTGTAAATTAACCATTAACATTGGAGACACACTGATGGAAGACCAGCATCTGGGCCTCAGTGTCAGATTAACAAGGTTTTCTTAGAGCATTCACCTGCTCCTTAAAACAAGATTGTAAAGTTTATAAAAACATTTATAGAAAGTATATCTTATGGTGAAGATAATAAAAATGTAATAAATTGGTCCATAAAATTTTAAAATACATATTTAATTGGCCTCGTGCTATTGTTATTAAGGCTTACTGTTTGGGAAATTAGGTTTCCTCTCTCAAAAAATAAAGGTTTTTTTTTTGTTTCTTTGTTTTGTTTTTTAAATCCTTGAGTTATTTGGCTACATGAATGACTTATTTTACAGTGAACTGTGATCCTATTTTGTGATATGAAGTGTTTTAAATTTTTTGTATTTGACAAACTTTCCAAAATCAAATTCAAACTTTGGTCCTCATTAATCTTTTGATATTAGATCCCCTTAAGTCCAAAAGAGACACATTCAACTTCTTCGATATAATAAAATCATATAGGAAGTATTATCAGATATGAAACGGTGTTTAACTTTCCTTGGATTATATTTATGTAAGTGTGTGATTAGTATGTGTTCCAGAATCATATGAGATTGTTGTGAGTCTATTATCAGTAGTAATTATGGAAAATTGTTACATGCCATAGAAGTAACCAAATTCGCTTGTCAATTGTGTCTTTTAACTGTGACTGTTTTAAGACTTTTGTTTTCCACAATTATTTTACTTGTGTCCTTTTCAAAAGGTTGTTTAATAATCAGCTATAAGACTTTGACAGGTGCTCTTAAAGGCTGGTGTCTAATAACTTGGGAGACTGTGACACTAGAATAAAGGAAAAACTGCCAAGACTCTCATAGAGAGCCAATGTATTCATAAATTTCTAATAGAACAAGCGTTACCTATGTAGACTAAACTAACGGAAAACTGAAATAATCTTTTGAAACATTACTAATATTTTGTTTCTGAGTCCAGAAAACCCCTTTTATTTGAACTACTTACAGCTTTTAACAGTTGGGTTAACTACACTGCTATGAGCAAAATCTAAAGCATATTTCTCTACCTAATTCCTCCAGAATTTGAAAGCTATTTTCAAGCATACTTAATTTATGTCAGTATAATTATTTGCATAATTCAACAATAATCTGTTTTTTTATTTTCTATCAGGACACAGTTGAAGACACTGGTTATTTTATCAAGCCCTTGACTGGAATTGCATACTTTCAGATATAAGCAAACTGCTTTAAGGAATCAAAGTTATCTTAGAAAGCCAATAAAAGCCTGTTGGGAAAGCTGACCCCATACCTTGTCTACTCAGCTCCTAGATAGGTTCCTGACCTGTGGTAAGTAAGGAATATCACTTTGTGACAGGCCCAGGAGCCCCAAAGTATCTTGGGATCTTGGTGAGGAATTCCTCCAATTAATACAGGTATTTGCAGGCACAGATAAAACTGTGGCTGGGCTCAAGTCTTTGACGTGTAATCTGAGAATCCCTATGGAACAAAGTTAAAACATTAAAAGAGCCTATGTGGCAAATAAGTATTCTTGCTGACTTTATGCAAATACTCAGGCCAAGCATAACAAAACTAACACTTATTTTACACATAGATGTGTCTATTACTTGTCTTTAGTGAAAACGTGTACTGGAGAAAGAAAAATCAAGTTTCAAAATGAACTACAGTACACCTGTTGTTAGATTCTAGTCTTGCCCAATGCTTTAAAGTTTTCATTGTTTTCTAGTTTGGACTGAATTCTAAAATTCAGTCTTCAGACTTCAACCATGTGGGTGCTCCGTTTTGACCCTGAGTACCCACCGATTCCACGGAAGAGTAGTAGGAGACTCAAGATTTCTATTTCTTTCCAAAGTATATTATTACAGTTAATTGTTAGGAAATGATTTTAAAGATAATTATTTGAATACTGAAAATGGCTTCGATTTCTAACAGCAAGCCAGGCTTACTTGTTACTTCCACATAGTTGATGAAGGCTGAAGACCACATTTGTATTCATTGGAGAGTTGTGCTTGAGACTGGAAATGTCTCTAAGATGCAACTGATTGTTTCTCCTCAGGTGAGCATCTTTTCCATATTCATGACCTACCACTGATATTCTGTGGAACTGAACTAAAACCAGGGTCGCCAAAGCCCTGCTGGGGGTGTGGAGGAAGGTGAGAGAGAGCGGAGGGGATGGACACAGTATTCCTGTCACCGTGCAGCTGCAGCTCTGCTCTGAGGCACATTTGTCCTCTGGATTCCGCAGAACTTCTCCCCAGGTCATCCTTCAGCAGCAGCCCCTCCACCTGGAGCGTTACTGGTGGACAGTGTGGCCTCAGGCACTGTCTCTGCTCTCATCTGCTCTGGCCAGGGCAGCAGGATTGGTTTCATTCAAAAGATAACTGATTTTCTTGGTGGGGGCAATAGTGAGCAGGGCAGAGGAGAGGCACTTACGGGTCCTATTGGCTTTCTTCCTGCCTGAGGCTAGTCCTCCTTGAGCCAATCTGTCTCTTCTAGAACATTCAGTTCCTCTGTACTTTCCATTTCTGGCTCCTACCCTGTAGTCATAAGTATGCCAGACGCTTAAAACAAACACTTTGCCACAATCTTTAATCTCTCCTACCATCAAGTACCACCCAAATTAGGGTTAGCTGAGCCTGGTGTCTCATGCCTGTAAATCCCAGCACTTTGGGAGGCTGAGGCAGGAGCATCACCTGAGCCCAGGAGTTCCAGACCATCCAGGGCAGCAAAGTGAGAACCTGCCTCTAAAAAACTAAAAATAAAATAACTTAAAAAAATTTAGCCAAGCATGGTGGCATACACCTTGTAGTCCCAGCTATTTAGGAGGCTGGAGGATTGCTTGCGCCTGGGAGGTCAAGGCTATTTTGAGATAGGGTCTCACTCTGTTTCCCAGGCAAGAGTGAGACCCTATCTCAAAAAAGAGATATTAAGGTCATATTTGCTGTTTACTTCTCTATCTTTTGTTCATTCTTTTTTTGGTGACAGCTTAATTGAGATAGAATCCAACATATCATACAATTTACCCATTGAAGTGTGTAATTCAATAGGCTTTTTTTTTTGAGATGGAATCTTGCTCTGTTGCTCAGGCTGGAGTGCAGTGGCATGATGTCAGCTCACTGCAACCTCTGCCTCCCAGGTTCAAGAGATTCTCTGCCTCCGCCTCCTGAGTAGCTGGGACTACAGGCACCTGCCATCATCTCAGGCTAATTTTTTTGTATTTTTAGTAGAGGTGGGGTTTCACCACATTTGCCAGGCTGTTCTCGAACTCCTGACCTCGTGATCTGCCTGCCTTGGCCTCCCAAAGTTCTGAGATTACAGGCATAGCCACCACACTCGGCCAATTCAATAGTTTTTAATATATTCACAGATTGCCATCATGCCCAAAGGAAACCCTGTGCCCATTAGGAGTCACTCTCATTCCCTCCTCTGTCCATCTGTAGGCAACCACTAACCTACTTTTTGTATATTCTGTACCATTCGTATAAATGGAAGCATACATTAAATACATGGTCCTTTGCATCTGGCTTCTTTCACTTTGCAGAATGTTTTCAAGATTCATCCGCGTTGTTGAAAGAGCTTTTTATCATTCTTCTTTTACAATGTCCACATGCAAGTTATAATACATGTGTAGGGATTCAATTATCTGGGCCATTTGCAAATAAGTTAGCTTATGCACATGTAATACAAGCAAAATTAAGTGCAGCTAACGAGTATTAATAGAGAGATGTAGCAAGCCGTAGGAAAGGAAATTCAGCAGTTGAAGAGGTTTTGTGGCCTGAAAGTCTATATAGAATTGTTTGATCAAAAAGGCCCCAAGATATCCTCAAGTACATCACTGAGTCTACACAGTGACCATCGATGCCACCACCTGGTGTGGAAGGGCCTGGTGATAGTTCACTCACTAATCAGATCCGTTTGGACACATTCAAGTCAGCAGAAGCACCTTCAACTCTAACAGAACACCTGGGGCACCCCTGGACACCGCTGACCTCTCTAGCTTTGAGGACGACCCACGTGGAGATTGTAGTGTAGCCACATTCTCCACGTGAAACCCAGTAAAAACTCCGTACCGCACATTTACGAAGAAGGCTCGTTGATAGATTCTATTGGTCTTCACTCTTTTAAGGATTGACTTTCCTTTTTGTCTTTGAAAATGATCCATCCTTGTTATGAAAATATTCAAATGATATAGAAAAGCATAGATAAGAGAAGAAAAATCACCCCAAATTTCACCACCACCCAAAAAGCTAGTATCACCTTTGGTAAGCATCCTTCCACTCGTCAGCGGTGGCCGAGCACACAGATGGAAGGACAGCTGGATGGTGGCTAGAAACCCAAACAACAGATCATACTATATGTGCTGTTTCTTTTTTTTTTTTTTTGAGACGGAGTTTCGCTCTTGTTACCCAGGCTGGAGTGCAATGGTGTGATCTCAGCTCACCGCAACCTCCGCCTCCTGGGTTCAGGCAATTCTCCTGCCTCAGCCTCCCGAGTAGCTGGGACTACAGGCACGCGCCACCATGCCCAGCTAATTTTTTGTATCTTTAGTAGAGGCGGGGTTTCACCATGTTGACCAGGATGGTCTCGATCTCATGACCTCGTGATCCACCCGCCTTGGCCTCCCAAAGTGCTGGGATTACAGGCTTGAGCCACCGTGCCCGGCCTATATGTGCTGTTTCTTCATGTTAAATACTAATTTTTGTTTCAAGAAAAAGAAAACAAATGTAATGGACTGGACTGCTAACATTATGTAAATATTTCTTCAGATTTGTTCCCAAAAGTTCCCTCTAATGTTACATAATTACAATAACCACAAAGAGGTCAAGACTCTATATTCTTTTAGCCACAGTTTCAAATTTTAGACAATCTGGACCAACTCTGCTGGACGAAACCTGGTGAGAAGCACTCTTCCATCTCTTCCCGCCTCCCTTCTGCCGCCTCCTCATTTTTTCCCTTACCTACTGCAAATGTAATTCTTCCAGGGTCGGTTTGTTTGCTTTTATTTAATGATTTCTTTGGGTTGATGCACTGGAGATTTACGTTCACCACCTGGCCTTTAGCCATGCCTTCTGTCCTTGTCACTGAAATTATATGTTCACCTCTGATCAGATTATTAATTTGGGAGGAAAATGTTTATTCTAAAATAACAAACAATTAGAGATGTACTTCTAATCTCGTACAAGTAGGTTAGCATAACAAATTCTCTTGAGTCATTTCTTTACAATTTTAAGCTATCATCTAAAATTATTGTTTTGAAGAGTCTATTTATTAAAAATGATTCACTGGTAACACAAAGAGCTACATAAAACATATTTCTAGGATTTCTCTCCTAAGATTCAAGTGTTTACTGAGCCTGACCATTGGAGGTCTTGCAGACTGTCAGATTCCAGCAGGTGCAAATAGAGCCACTTTTTTCCTGCCACCCCTGAGTCTCACAGGCAAACTTGGCTCTGGCTCTGCTCCTGTGCTCTGCAGACTCGAGGCCCACAGCCATCCAAGAAGAACCTAAGATATATCCTAGATTCCTCTCTGTCTTACTCCCTGGTCACATCCATTCATCACGTAAGTAGAGACTTATGGCCTGCAAAGCCCAAATTATCTGCTATCTGGTTTGTACAGAAACATTTGCTGGCCCTTGAAATGGACTATGCTTTCCAGTCTTCATAAATACACTTGAGTTCTGGGAGTCTCTGATTTGAGAAGGTCATTACTAAAGAATTTTCAGCCCGGCACGGTTCCCTTGCATGACCATGGCATGACCAATTTTGCAACTGTCATTTCCATAGTATCTTTTTCCCTATCAGTGTCACCAACAGCGACAGGAATAAACATGCATGGGTGAGCCAATTCAAATAAAAGTTTTGAGGTACCTACGAAGCAGGTCTGGGAACCATAGACCTTGTTGCTGTCGCCTTGTAACTCACTCTTTCACGTGAACCTGCTAAGCAATCATGATTCTCCTAAGGGGTTGAATGAGGAGACCAGCATCCTCTGGTGTGACTGGACGATGCTGTTGATAGTAGGTCACTACCAGTTATCAACTGCCAGGCATTCTTCCAAGTGCTTCCTGGTGTTTGGCGACTCACAGTAGAAATGAGCTATGTTCAGAGTTTCTTTTTTCTTTTTTCTTTTTTGAGACAGAGTTTCGCTCTCATTACCCAGGCTGGAGTGCAATGGTGCGATCTCGGCTCACCGCAACCTCCACCTCCTGGGTTCAGGCAATTCTCCTGCCTCAGCCTCCTGAGTAGCTGGGATTACAGGCATGCGCCACCATGCCCAGCTAATTTTTGTATTTTTAGTAGAGATGGGGTTTCACCATGTTGACCAGGATGGTCTCGATTTCTTGACCTCGTGATCCACCCACCTCGGCCTCCCAAAGTGCTGGGATTACAGGTGTAAGCCACCGCACCCGGCCTCAGAGTTTCTTACTTACAATGTGATCATTGTGTCTGTCTCTGAATTCCATCGTGGTGTCTCTGATTTTTATCTTGGGCCTTATTTCTGGTGCTCAGAGTTCTTGCAAACACCCGAAACTGAAAAGTGGCTTTGCATTTATGTTTTTGTTACTGTTGAAATTATGCTGCCCTAAGGCTTGTCAACTACTTTCAGAGAGGAAAAAAACCTAGTGGTAGGTGCTGTATCCCATTCTTCAAAGAAAACGTAGCTAGTATTTGCTAAACCAACTAGGAGACCCATTTTAACTAAAATCGTTTTGGCTACCAAGATAAAATGAATGAAAAAGCTTGGTGACTAAAAAACTTCACCTAGAACAATAAGCAAGCGGGAAAGGCCAGAAAAGGAAAACAAATGATAGTGACTTTTCAATTATATTCAAATTAAAAGGAATGATGGCAGTTTTTCTAAATGACCGTTTCTTTGGTGGCTCTTGGCATGTGTGGTTCTGCAGTCCCACAGTTTCAAATTGTTTTGCACAGATTCAAGGTGGGTGGACAGTGAAGCGGAGCAGCGTCGGCCTTTTAGCTGATGATTATTGATGATTGCTCTCTATTCACCCATGAAATCAACAAATACAGCAAGGAACTGCCCTCATGGAGCTAGTCCTCTAGCTGGGGAGACCAGCAAAAACCTACTAAGTAGAATACGCATAATATGTCTGGATATAGGTGAGTGCTATGGCTGCAAAGGGTTGACCTGAGAGGCCTTCAGGAAGGGAGGAAGCTGACCAACGTGTGGGAAGAGCAGGCCAAACCTAGAGACCCACGGCGGGGGTTGGGGGAGCTCATTTCAGGAAAATAAGCTGGAGAAAACGGTGACTCAGTGACGGCAAATACACGGAACTCTAGTGAAATCATGAAATCTCAATGCCTTTGTGAAAAATGGTAATCCCAGCTACTCGGGAGGCTGAGGCAGGAGAATTGCCTGAACCCAGGAGGCGGAGGTTGCTGTGAACCGAGATCGCGCCATTGCACTCCAGCCTGGTTAACAAGATCGAAACTCCGTCTCAAAAAAAAAAAAAAAAAGGTCATGAAGGAAAAGCCAGGTGCTAAAATGTTTCAGAATTGAGAGATTCTCAAATACTACGTGGCAGGCGCCCTTGGGAGTATGAAGGCTTGCCAGGCTCCGGTTGGTCCTGTTCTGAGTGGGATAAGCTTCTTTGGAGGCATCAGTATTGGAAGTGTCAGCCGCTTGATTAGTTTGGCTTGAGGGAGGATGGGGGTACATTTCAGAGATGAGTAGGAGCTTGTCAAGTAAGCAACTGGAGCCAAAGGGTGCTGAGCCTACAAAGGGGCCTGTGAGTGCGTGCTGCTGCTTGGGACCTGCTACTCACAGGCAGGGTGACCACCCCACTTCCCTTTGCCCCTAACTGTCCTGCTTTTATTATTATTATTTGAAACGGAGTCTTGCTCTGTCACCTAGGCTGGAGTACAGTGGCACAATCTTGGCTCACTGCAACCTCTACCTCCCGGGGTTCAAGCAATTGTCCTGCCTCAGCCTCCCATGTAGCTGGGATTATAGGCAGACACTACGTTGCCCAGTTAATTTTTGTATTTTTTGTAGAGATGGGGTTTCACCACATTGCCCAGACTGGTCTTGAACTTCTGATCTCAAATGATCCACCCACCTCGGCCTCTCAAAGTGTTGGGATTACAGGCGTAAGCCACTGGGCATGGCCTGGACTTTTAAATTAGATATGGAAATGTAAAAGAAACACTTATTAAATTAATTAGTATACAGTAAGCCATAATGAATCCCTGAAAAAAATGTCACTTTAGAAATCCATTGACATAGAAAGATGCTACTCACATATTTTTAAGTGGAAATAAGACGCAAATTATTTCTAGATGGTAGTTTTATGTTTTCTTTTTTGCCTTTTTTACTTTCTGTAATGAAGATGTAATTGTGTAACAATAATTTTGTAATAAAAAGAACAATATAAGGAAAACCTTATAGGGAGAAATACTGAGTGGTGATTTGATACTAAACAGCATCTCTCAAAAAAGACAGTCTTTGAGTTTGAAATTAAAAATCCAAGAATTGCGGATGAAACAAACAGTACACAGAAACACACCACAGTTTGATTCCGCACATGCACTGGGAGTTTTCAGGAACACCCAGCATGCAGTTGAGATAACTGAGGGACAGGGGAGTTGCAGGAGAAGCTCCAGGGCAGATGCCTTTGACCAGGTATCTCAGGCACTCTTGGAGATAAGATTACCCTGACCTGAGAGCGAAGGTTTCCAGTCTGTGCTAGATTTATCTTTGTAATGGAATTTTTTTTTTTTTTGAGATGGAGTCTCACTTTGTTGCCCAGGCTGGAGTGCTGTGGCATGATCTGAGCTCACTGCAGCCTCTGCCTCCCAGGTTCAAGCAATTCTCCCACCTGCCTCAGCCTCCCGAGTAGCTGGGGCTACAGGTGCGCACCACCATACCTGGCTAATTTTTGTATTTTCAGTAGAGATGAGGTTTTGCCATGTTGGTGAGGCTGCTCTCCAACTCCTGACCTCAGGTGATCTGCCAGCCTTGGCCTCCCAAAGTGCTGGGATTCCAGGCATGAGCCACTGTGCCCGGCCTGTTATGGAAATTGATGCTTCTGGGCAGGTGCCACTATTCAATAACATCATGCAGTTAAAGTCATTTAGCTCTGAGCCTAGGCCCAACAAGAGAGCTTTCCACTATAATTTATTTTCCACATAGAATTGCTCAGAATTTAAAAATGCGGTTTCATTGTTATAGAGTGTGGTCTCTGCTAGGCATGGTGCTAAGTATACATCAGTGAGTACATAGCTCTCTTCTCTGTCCCTAGAGGACAAGTGATTAAAATGTTGCATGTTCAATGCTATGATTGAGGCAGTAAGTGTACACCAGAGAGTAGTGCAGACCAGGAGTTTAGCAAAGATTTGCTGGACAAATTCATGGAACTGAGACCCACAGGTTGGCCCATCAGAAGGAGAAGGCAAGGGTTTTAAAGAATGACTCCAGGCAGATGGAAAAGCACATGTAAAGAGCAAGAGGAAAGCTTCTCATGGTAAATATAAATTGGAAACTGACATCTTAGCTTTTATACCCATTCTCTCTATGAGTTATGTTAGTGTTAGTCTTTTGGGACCCAGTCACCCCTTGATATAGAGACAAAACTGGTTCTCTCAGCCTATGTAGCTGAGGATGAGATCAGGGAGCATGGTGGGTCCCTCAAGGCAGAGCCACCCATTTGTATGGTCAAGTGGGTCTTCCTGGACAATACTCCATGCTTTTTTTTTTTTTTTTTGGCATGGTTATTCAAACTGCAGCAACAGTTCTTAATTTTTTTTTTTTTTTTTGAGATGGAGTACAGTGGCGCGATCTCAGCTCACTGCAACCTCTGCCTCCTGGGTTCAAACAATTCTCATGCCTCAGTCTCTCGAGTAGCTGGGATTACAGGTGCCTGCCACCATATCCAGCTAATTTTCATATTTTTGGTATAGATGGGGTTTCACCATTTTGGCCTGGCTGGTCTCGAACTCCACCTCAGGTGATCCACCCGCCTTGGCCTCCCAAAATGCTGGAATTACAGGTGTGAGCCACCACGCCTGGCCAGCCCGGCCAGTTCTAAAATATTTTGTTAGTTTATTCACCATGGATTGAAGATAGGTTCAATGTCTCTTTGAAACAGGATTTTCTTTAAAAAAACTGAACAACAATATTCTCCACACTATCAGAAACATTTGTAAGGGCAGATGGTGATGAGGCTCTCCCCCATGGTCTGCAGTGTCTTCTGCATAAGCATTTCACATTTGTGCGTATTCATTTCCACTCACAGTATTAACCCTAATTCACACCCTGGACATCATCTGCATATATATATCGCGCGTGCGCACACACCCTAATTCACACCCCGGACATCATCTGCATATATATATCGCGCACGCGCACACCCTAATTCACACCCCGGACATCATCTGCATATATATATCGCGCACGCGCACACCCTAATTCACACCCCGGACATCATCTGCATATATATCGCGCGCGCGCACACACCCTAATTCACACCCCGGACATCATCTGCATATATATATCGCGCGCGCGCACACACCCTAATTCACACCCCGGACATCATCTGCATATATATCGCGCGCGCGCACACACCCTAATTCACACCCCGGACATCATCTGCATATATATATCGCGCGTGCGCACACACCCTAATTCACACCCCGGACATCATCTGCATATATATCGCGCGCGCGCACGCACCCTAATTCACACCCCGGACATCATCTGCATATATATATCGCGCGCGCGCACACACCCTAATTCACACCCCGGACATCATCTGCATATATATATCGCGCACGCACACACACCCTAATTCACACCCCGGACATCATCTGCATATATATCGCGCGCACGCACCCTAATTCACATCCCGGACATCATCTGCATATATATATCGCGCGCGCGCACACACACAGTGAGCAACTTACTGAGGGAATGTGTTCTCTTTCCAGGGTCCATCAGGCGCCGTAGTTTTAAGGGCAAGTATTTTCTCCCCCTCCATCTTCATCCAGGAGATTTAACAGTTTAGGTTCAAATCTCGCGGGCTCAGGAAGAAAGTAAAAGTCAGTCACTTCAGCGCAAGTTCTAAGGACCCGCTTTCATCGGCCACGGGTCTTAGAGAAGGTGGGGGTTCCTCCCAGGTTAAAAGTCCTCTTCTTCCACACCCCTTCGGACCCCATGAACACTCCCTTCATGGAAGCCATCTTTTTCTCTCCTGGATTTCCCCTCTGGGGTCCCCTTCCATGCTCTCGTGGAAGCCTGTCTTCCCCTCCTAAACTCCATCTCCCTCTCTATTCCCTTCCACTCAGTGTGGAAGCTGCTTTCCTCTCCTGGATTCCATCTTTCTGGATTCTCTCTCTCAGTGTGAGAGTTAGCTGTTTCTTCTCTCTCCTTCTCCGGTTTCTGTCTGTCTAAATAAATCACTTTCTATAAACATTTTTGAGTCCAGCATTTACTGCACAATGAGCTGTGGTCCCCTCTCTCATTCTTAAAGAGGGTAGGAGATCAAGAACCTGGAGAAATGTCCTCTCCGGGGAGCTGAGGGCACCCTGAACCCCAATGTAACATTACCTTTATAGGAACGCTTCTGGGACTATCTAGAAGGTAGTGCAATGAGCATGAATATGCCACACGAATCACCTGCCTCTATCATAAATCCCTAAATCCGCAACTGTATACTCAGAGATTCCCAGCACTTGCCATCACTTTGCATTAGTTTTGTGTTTTCTGTTAGCTGTTCTGTAGTTTCCAATGACCGGTTCATTTTTTAATAATAGTGAACAATGACACAGTGCTTCCTTTACGCTATGCACTGTTCTAAGGTGAATTAATTAATCCTCACATAACCTTATGCGGTGCATGCATTATTGTCCCCAAAGTTCTCACACAGGTGACTTTTGGCGGTGGGGTCTCCACACTGGCACCCAGAGCTCACCCACTTTCTCTGCTGCCTCATGCTCTATTGTCACCTGGGCCATCATTCCCATGACCTTTGCATTTCCTTGCAGTGTCCCCTGTGGCTGCTGGCACCCAGAGGACCTCAGTGTGAGCCTCTTTGTCTAATCTAGTACAGGCCCTATTTCAGAATGTTCCATTCCAGATCCCTCAACCCTGGGCTCACTGTGAAACAATGCGTGGCCACTAACGCAGTTCTTTGAAAATGCTGCATCAACACACCCACACTGAGAGCAATGCAAAGTCACTGAAATTTTCTAGAATGGTATGAGAGAAAAAATCCCTATAAGTATTTTCCAACCCAAACTTCGCTTTTAAATTCTTCTTAGAAAAGTTTGCTAGTATGGCAAGAAAGTAACTGTTAGATTTTTTTTTTGAATTAGGGTTTGCTTTTTGGAGCCCTTTAAAATTTTGATAGCCTTAAGAAACTCCTCTTACTTAACAAAGGGAAACAGCCAGGCTTAATCTTGAGCTTGGAGTTGACATGAGGATGGCCATTTCATCACAAGGCAACTCCTCCAGGACATAAGTGAGGCCCATGGCATAACACAGCCTGTGATTCCCTCCCTCCCCCTTCACATTTATTGAAAATACATCTTCAAAGACAGACTCAAAAGCCCTTTTGATGCTTTTATTGACAATTTAAGTACAATCTTAGAGTTGTCAGATAATCTCAACACATTTCAGAGAAAAATAGACTTTTTTCTGCAAAGCCTCCTTTTTTGATACATTCACATTTTGTTATATGTTTTTGTGCAAATAATTTGTGATTCTGATGCATGTTCATGTGTACTGGATGTTTTTGCTCTAACTTATTTTAAGAATCACTGTTCTATTCTGAAAAAGGAAAAGACCACCACCAAGAAAGGAAAGGAGACCAGGCCCAACAGCTGAATAGTCTAACAGGGGTCTCTAGGGTGCCTGAGCTCGTGGGAGCAAGCCTCATTCAGGCATGGCAAGCCCAGCGCAGCATGCAGAGTGGGAAGGGGCAATAATGCAGACATCATCAGGAAAAAAAGCTATGGATGATGGAAAACACTGTGTGCTCCATGTGACAGAAGGGAGCCATCTGATTTGTCACATTGGGCCAGTGTAAGGAATTGCAATTTGGTGGGATTGCCAGTGACGCTAGGTCAGGCCCTGATCAGGGTCTGGACTCGGTGTGGACATGAGCCACTGGGTGCAGGGGCTCATGCCTGCAACCTCTATTTTTTCCCATCCTATAGAGACATTGATCTCTCCAGCATTCCTATATAAGCTTTGGGCTTCCTGTCACAGGTCTGTTGTCACCATGGGGCCATGTTGGAGTAGGTAGATTTTCAGACAGTGAAGCCATAGGAGGCTGTGAATCCTGGTGTGGATGCTACAGAGCCCCCTCTCATCCCGGTGCAGGGCCTCTGAGCAGACTGGACTGTCCCTGGATGGTTGGAAGAAATGAGTTGTCTCAGGCAGTAAGGAAAAGAGGGACAGATGTCCTCGGGATGTGGAACATTTCTGCGTTCATCCCCTCTCTTCTCTCCAGCAAGGATTTCAGGTGCTACATCTAATAAGGGAAGCCCCGATTTCATAATGTACAGAGTTGCTACATCCAAAAGGGCCTCCATGTGCTGGGGAGACTCATGCCCTCAGTTACGTTCACAATCTTCCTGAGAAGTCAGACAATACAAGTAGAATAAAAGATAGTGGTTGTGCTTTCTCTTCTGTGTAGTGTGCATAAGAAAATGGGGGTTGCCACACGTTTGTGCTGTTAACCTTTTGATTGTATTGTGAGTGGCTTAAGGAAAAAGTTGACAGTTTGATCCAACTCAAATCCAATCCATGTCAACGTAAGGAATATTCTAGTGAGTTTACCGTCCTAAGAAATGATCTCTCCTGGGGGAACCCGAGTGTCCTGAGCTCCCTGGGACTTGCAGATTGGACGGAGAGGGTGTATCAGAGGGGTAGAAACCCTTCTGATGGAGAGAGTCAGGCACGCCTTCATTTCGGTAGTTCTGGAAAGGCTCCTCTTTAAAGATTCTGATTTAATAATGTCCACTTTTGTTATGATTGAATATCATTATGAAATCATTTCTAAACATGTCTCCTGTATAGGCACTTTATCCATTACATTTACAGTGGAGTCAAATGTATCAGCAAAATCTCCAAGCTGCAAAATGAATACTCAATATCAAATTATAGATTTCTTCTGTAATACTTTCAGAATAACAATTGTTTTCTAAAGTTGCAAATAAGGAAGGCGAATGAAAGTACATTAACTTGATTTCTTCCCTGTAATTCAAACATTCAACATTCAAATTAACTCTCTTAATTTCTCACTTAGTTGGCAAGTTGATTTATGCATAGTTGATATTTCATCAATGCAATTTATGTAGATAGAATTCTTAAGGATTTGTGTCATCCTGAGGCTGAGAACACCTCTTGCTGGTGTCACAGATGGCTCTGCTGGTCTTTTTTTGGGGGGACAAACTGAAAGGGACTCAGGAGCTCCTTCTGTAATTTTGCTTTGCTGTTTTTCATGGACAAAGAAACCTGAAGTGTGCTTGTGTGTGTGTGTGTGCACGTGCGTGTGTGTACGAGCACGTGTGTGCATTTGCATGTGTGTGTGCATGTGTGTTCGGAAAGAGAATTAGCAAATGAAGGTGGGACACTGTGCATGTTCCCCCAGGACCAGGCGATGGGGCGCCCTGGCTACACGTCGAACCAGTGGTCCCCCATGCAGACGCGGTTCCACTCACAGCCACAGTTCCAGCACCACTCGAGCCTGCACTGGGGCTGCGGACACTTCATGTGCATGCAGCCTCCTGTTGGGGGCAGAAAACAAAGTTGTGGTGGGTTCGCAGAAAATACCTGGAAAACACGCATTCCCAAACCAACACGCCAGCCTGGACCTTACTTTCTAAGTGAATAATCACAAGCAACACAAGGGCAGAGAGAAACTGAACTGAGACAAAAAAAATCAGAACGCACAATAGGGCATCTCTAAGTTACGACATTCATTACGAAATGAATGAAATTGAAGCATGTCACTTTTGTCAAGAACAAATTTTATTTGTAAATCTGACTTTATTCTCCTGAAATGGGATTTAGAGACAAATGCTACATGTTCCACAGATGGGGGTAAATTCCTCATTTAAATATATTTAAAATACTAATATATTTATATTTAAATATCAAATATATTTAAGTAAATTAATAAAATTTGGTGATTAACTTAATATAATGTATAATCGTTTAAATATATTTTGATTTATTTTTTCCCTTTCTATAGTGCTACTTACTTGGCTTGGCCAATTTCATAAAACAGGAACTGGGATAGCTTATTATTATTATTATTATTATTATTTTGAGATGAAGTTTTGCTCTCATCCCCCAGGCTGGAGTGCAGTGGTGCAATCTCAGCTCACTGCAACCTCTGCCTCCTGGGTTCAGGTGATTCTCCCGCCTCAGCCTCTCAGGTAGCTGGGATTACAGGCATCCACCACGATGCCCAGCTAATTTTTGTATTTTTAGTAGAGATGGGGTTTCGCCATGTTGGCCAGGCTGGAATTCCTGACCTCAGGTGATCCACCTGCTTTGGCCTCCCAAAGTGCTGGGATTACAGGCATGCACCACTGAGCCTGTTGGCATATTATTTTCAATGGGGAATATGTTCCTTAATGCTATACAAAATTTTAATTAAGATGAGAGGGATAGAAACGAAATAACCAATAATGCTAGATGTTCTATGTATCTCGTTTGCTTCCCAAAGCATGTTGAGATAAGAGCATCACTCTGCTGTAGAATTTCCCCAAGGTGAAGCACTTTTAAGGGGTGAAGACTCAGATGTAACCAAGCTCTGTGTGATTTCACAGAACAGCTTCTCTTAGGCACAAGAGGAAAAGTCTGTTATCTTGGACTTATTTTGGGATCATCCACCTCCCTCACTTGTTAAATGTAGACTCCATGAGTTTCTGGAGGGCAAACACCCGTGCTTCAGTCGCTGTGGGGAAACTGAAGGGAGGACGAAGTGGTTTGCATGAGGATGTGCAGAGAACCGTTTCTGTCTAATTTCTTGGATAACCCCGGCAAATGCGGTTTCTTCACTTCAGTCCTACCTAGCGTTGAAAGTGCTCCATTACTCACTCTTACCAATTACCTTGTTAATTGATTTTTGCTGCCAAAATTTCCAAGTGATTGCTTTGGTGCTGTCTCATTTTTATTATTAGAAACCTGGCATGAGAACTTTCACTAATTTAAAATATTTATGAATATATAGCAATAGGCATTTGTTTTAAGATAACTTGTCTGCATGTAAAATCCCCTATTTTCCTACTTCATCCTGGCTTGTTTTACAGATCATAAATTACAGATGAGTGGAAAATAAAGGAGAAAACTTACAACACTTTTATATTCATACTTTCCACTTAGGTTTGTGCCAGTGTCAGTACATACCCAATAATTGTATATTTATGATGTAAATATTATGTCATATGGTGTGACATTATAAGACCACTTAAGTTTCTCTAAAATATAAATATTTTATCATACCATAAAACACATCACTATGAGATCATAGGACATCATATTCATTCAAAATTATTGATCAATACATTAAAACTTAATGAACGATTAAAGCAATTCTAAATGAAAGGGTGAGAAAGTTTCCTATTGTGATATTTAATATATATATAAGCATATATATATACATAGATATATACGGGTGTGTGCATATATATATAAAATTATTATTTTGACACAGAGTCTTGCTCTGTCACCAGGCTGGAGTGCAGTGGTGCGATCTCAGCTCACCACAACCTCCACCTCCAGGGTTGGAGCAACTCTTCTGCCTCAGCCTCCTGAGTAGTTGGGATTACAGGCACCTGCCACCACACCTGGCTAATTTTTGTATTTTTAGTAGAGATGGCATTTCACTATGTTGACCAGGCTGATCTCAAACTCCTGACTTTGTGATTCGCCCACCTAGGCCTGCCAAAGTACTGGGATTACAGGCGTGAGCCACCATGCCTGGCTGATATATGTGCTTTTCATACACAGTCCCTGGCTCTTCTCACAGTCTTCTGTTATAATGTTGGGGCAATTTAGGCCTCAGAAACAGGCCCCAGGAAAGAGAATCTCTTCTTCTGACCTTTCCTTGCCCTCCTTTTACCAGCCCAGGGCAGGACTGGAATCTTTCCCAGCTGTTCTGACTGTGGGTTATAAGATCTAGATTTCAGAAAGAGTCCCATCCATCCCCCAGAGGAAGGAATGCTGCACAGAGAGGAAGGATCTAGATGGGCTGGCCTTGCAGGGTTTCCCCACTCCATCCATTAGCATGAGATCAAAGCCTTTCTGTCCCATCACATTTCAAGCATGGACAGTTGGGATTACAGGCACCTGGCTATATATCAGTCAGGCATGGTGGCTCATGCTTGTAATCCCAGCACTTTGAGAAGCCAAGGTGGATGAATCACAAGGTCAGGAGTTTGAGACCAGCCTGGTCAACATGGTGAAACCGCATCTCTGCTAAAAATACAAAAATTAGCCAGGTGTGGTGGCAGGTGCCTATAATTCCAGCTATTTGGGAGGCTGAGGCAGGACAAATGCTTGAACACAGGAGGTGGAGATTGCAGTGAGCCGAGATTATACCACCCTACTCCAGTCTGGGTAACGAGAGCAAAACTCTGTCTAAAAAAAAAAAAACCAGAGAGGATATTTATGTTATTAACTTTCTTTCCTCCCTAGTGCTTAATATACACAAGGCTATGGCTCTAGACCCCAGGCCATGGAGGAATGTGGAGGATCGCAATTCTACAAGCTTTGACAGCTTAGAAATGCATATAGGAAGCCGCTGAAACTCCACGCTGATTTGTGGATATAGACATGAAGGGAACAAGGCCTCCTTTGTAGTGAGTTCTGTCTGCAGATGGACACTCAAACCATGAAAAGCCCAGCCTGCGCGGGGCAGTCAACATCACGGCTCCGGCCAGCGATTCTTCCATTAGATTTAATGAGAGCGTGGAAGTCCCTGAACAACCTGAAGGCCAATTTAAGGAGCAGCACACGCTCATTATTCAGGGAACGGAGCCAGAATCTCATCTGCCTGAGATGGAAGGGAAGACATTTCTGGAGATTGGAGGGGATTACAGGAGACAGTGCCAGGGTTTAGCCTGTGCTTAAAATGGAAATTCCTGGCATTATGATTTCAGCTTCTCTGAGGGAAGAAGGGCATTCCTGAAACACAGCTGAGTGTGTAACAGGCCATGAACCTCGGTGACAACCAGGGAACGTCCTTGGTCATAGATGCTTCGTCTGTTTCGGAGATTGTGGTGCACTTTAAAACAGCTTAGACCATCGCTATAAGCTTCCAGTCTCAGCTTTTCTGTTTGTAAGTTAAAAATTTGGAGGTATAAAAAGTAGTGCTTTCATTTATAGTACGTCGCAGTATTTCTAAGACCTAGCCCGACGGGGAGAAACTCTCCTATAGTCACGAACCATCTGACCCCTGCAGCTCCATCTTCGGAGGCTGCCGGCTTGGTCTGAGTCCAAGGCGGATCTGACAAACAATTTTCCTGCTTTTCACCCTAGAACATCTCCCTGCCTCGTGCAATCAAGTCCAAGTCCCAAACCTGCCATTCAGGAACATGCATTCTGCACCCTACCCGTGGCTTCCAGCCGAGGCTCCTCTGTGCCTGGAACACCAGCATCAGGGGGGCGGGGGCTGCCTCCACACACTGGGGGCTCAGGCCCGTGCCTCTGCTCATGCAGTCCTGGGGTCTAGGATGCCTCCTCCTGCTCCTGCCTGCCTGGCTGATGTCTGCACATTCTTCAGTTCTTGATTGGTAACATGTCTACCAGGAAGCCTCCTCCGGGTCTGTCTGCTGTGATAGCTCACTTCCTCCATGTTATTTTATTAAAAAGATGTTTATGTGTCTATCTCTAAACTGTTTACAAGCTAAGTTTTTGTTTGTTTGTTTTTGTTTTATATTTTTTTGAGGCGGAGTCTCACTCTGTGGTCTAGGCTAGAATGTAATGGCGTGATCTCGGCTCACTACAACCTCCACCTGCTGGGTTCAAACGACTGTTGTTTCTCAGCCTCCCGAGTAGCTGGGATCATAGGTGCCCACTACCACGCCCAGCTAATTTTTTTGCATTTTTACTAGAGACAGGGTTTCACCATGTTGGCCAGGCTGGTCTTGAACTCCTGACCTCCAATGATCCACCCACCTTGGCCTCCCAAAGTGCTGGAAGTACAGGCATGAGTCACTGTGCCCGGCCTACAAGCTAAGTTTTAATTCAACAAATATTTATTGTCCAGGCATTTTTCTGGGGTTGGGGCCTAGACAGTCAGGGTCCCTGATCTCTTTGGCTTATGTTCTAATGGGGCAACAGACAAGAAACATCTAAATAAACAAATTAAGCAATGATCTGGGAAGGAAACAGTGTTGTGAAATGATTCTTAAACATGTGGCTGTGACTTGTTGGGTGAAGGGGGAAGCAGATTCTGAGGTGGAAAGGGAAAAAGGCAGGCCTGGCAGAGCAGAAACCCAGCTCAGGCACAGCCTGAGAGGCCTCTGCTGGTGCCTGGGAGCTCAGGCAGGGGCTGGGGTAGCTCTCAGCGTGGTCCTGAATTTGGTTAGTGGGTTGGGCATTATGACCACCCCCAATCAGCAGTCATGGAAACAAGCTCCCCCAGGGAAGGAGAGGGACCCAGAATTAATTCTCTTGGCAGAGGTGATTGCCCAGAGGGCTCAAGGCCATCCACAGACAGGCCCCCTGCAGAGGGAATGGCAGCGCTTCCCTGTCTAGGGGTCGAATGGTGCCAACAGTGCCCCTCACAGGGGGCAGGGGATTACTTTGGCAGGCGGGTAAGGGGCGGACTCACCGAGAAGAGGTCAGCTGGGCTGAGATCTGAAGGACAGGAAAGAGCTGGTCGTGGGCAGTGACGGTGCAGAAGCGTCCTGGGAAGGACGGTGGGAGTGGGAGTGGGATGTGTGTTCTTACAATGCCCGGGGGAGGGAGGACCCCTGGGGGAGAAGGGCAGGACTGACCTGGCCTTTGAGAAGTCTAAGCATCTACACAGAGATGGATCATCAATATGTGAGAGGAGAGGCGAGAGCCCCTTTGGGAGGCTGTGCTTGGAAGAGGAGGTGGCAAGGTGGGCACTGGCTGGGGACGTGGAGACAGAGGTGGGCAGACGCTGCATCAGAGCACGGGGAAGGCTGTGGCGACTGAGGATTGAATGCAGGGTGAGGAAGAGGGTGGAAGGAAGGATAAGCTTTAGCTTAGGGGCTTGAGGAGCTGGGCAGTGCTGCTGATTGGGGTTGTGTGCCCTGGAGGAAAAGGGTTTCTAGGAACAGCTAGCGTTCTGCTTTGTGAAATTTGCGCTGTCTATTGAATAATCAGTGTAGACACTAAGTAAGCAGCTGACTATTTGAGCCGGAAACCCAGGGGCGAGTAAGGGTGGGGTGTAGATGTGGGACCCATGTATATATGGATAGTATTTAAGGCCACAAGACTGGGCTGTGTGTTATGTGACACAAAATGCAACAGGTCCAGGCTCGCTGAGCATTTCCTTTTCTTTTTTAGACAAGAGTCTTGCTCTGTTGCTCAGGTTGGAGTGCAGTGGCATGCTCTTGGCTCACTGCAAATTCTGCCTCCTGGGTTCAAGTGATTCTCCTACCTCAGCTTCCCAAGTAGGGAAAGGTGCTAGGGTTTAGCCTGTGCTTACAGGCACACACCGGCTTGCCCAGCTAATTTTTGTATTTTTAGCAGAGACAAGGTTTCATCATGTTGGTCAGGCTGGTCTCGAACTCCTGACCTCAGGTGATCCACCCTCCTTTGCCACCCAATTGGGACTACAGGCGTGAGCCACCGTGCCCAGATTTGCTGACCATTTCTTATCTTGCAAACTGCCACCACCAGAGCCTGGGCTAACGAGGAGGCCACTAAGAGATGGACCCCAGACCTGCTGAGTAAATTCTCTGCCTGCCCTGCCTGTGACGCCTGTTGGAAGTGAGTGTTTTAGGAGCCCCTTACACTCCCCATCTGCAGACAGAGACCTGGCTGATTCTTACTAACTGTTTCGCTAAGGTTATATATCAAACATGTTTATTACAGAAAAGCACAAAAAGAAATAAAGTCATCTTTGATCCCATTATGCCCAGAACTACTGACTATGACATGGTAACATCTTGTTTCCAGTCTTTTTCTTCTGACTCCGTTTTTTCCCATACATACATTTACTGGAAAACTGACAGCCTGTGCTGCCACTTGCTTTGATATTCTGATTTCTCACTAGGATGGATGTAAACCTTTCCCCTCTGCTTTCATGACTTCCTCATCCACACAGACCAGTGCACGTATCACAGGGTGCGTTTGATACACTGTCTCTTTCACTCCTCCTGCCCAGCCTGTAAGGAAGTGCCACTGAAACCTACCTTGTGAATGAGGAAACTGGTGCTCACCCAGCCATAGTCCATGGCAGAGTCTTAACCCTGGTGACACTGCACTGTGGGGCTGTGTGTTGCTTTACCACGGGTTTATCACAACATAAACCCATCTTCTTTTTTTTTCTCCGAGACAGAGTTTCTCTGTTGTTACCCAGGCTGGAGTGCAATGGCACGATCTCGGCTCACCGCAACCTCCGCCTTCTGGGTTCAAGCAATTCTTCTGCCTCAGCCTCCCGAGTAGCTGGGACTACAGGCGCGTGCCACCATGCCCAGCTAATTTTTGTATTTTTAGTAGAGATGGGGTTTCACCTTGTTGACCAGGATGGTCTCGATCTCTTGACCTTGTGATTCACCTGCCTCGGCCTCCCAAAGTGCTGGGATTATAGGCATGAGCCACCGCGCCTGGCCATAAACCCATCTTCTATACTAGGCCATTAGACACTTAGAGGATTTTGACTTTACCCTAATATAAATAATGCTGCAGTTCACACCTTTTTCCTAAAATGTGTGTAGGGGTGTGGGGGTGTTTGTATATTACATGTTTCAGGTTATTTCTTTAGGATAGATTTTCAGAGATGGATTACAGAGTCTTTATACATGTATTGCCAAAGTCGTTTCCAGGAAAGTGACGCTAACTTATGATGTCCTCACCAATCCTGAGAATTATTATTAAAAAACCAAACCAAACCAAACCAAACCAAACAAACAAAAAATTAAGGCCGGGCATAGTGGCTCACATCTGTAATCCCAGCACTTTGGGAGGCCAAGGCGCACAGATCACCTGAGATCAGGAGTTCAAGTTCAGCCTGGCCAACATATAGTGAAACCCTGTATCTACTGAAAAATACAAAAATTAGGCCAGGCGTGGTGGCTCACACCTGTAATCCCAGCACTTTGGGAGGCCAAGGTGCACAGATTACCTGAGATCAGGAGTTCAAGATCAGCCTGGCTAACATATAGTGAAACCCTGTATCTACTAAAAAATACAAAAATTAGGCCAGGCGCAGTGGCTCATGCCTGTAATCACAGCACTTTGGGAGGTTGAGGTGGACAGATCATGAGGTCAAGAGATCAAGACCAGCCTGGCCAACATGGTGAAACCCTACCTCTACTAAAATACAAAAAAAAATTAGCTAGGCATGGTGGCACGTGCCTGTAGTTCCAGCTACTCAGGAGGCTGAGGCAGGAGAATTGCTTGAACCTGGGAGGCCGAGGTTGCAGTGAGTCAAGATCGTACCACTGCACTCTAGCCTGATGCCTGGTGACAGAGTGAGACTCTGTCTCAGAAAAAAAAAAAAAAAATAGCTGGGCATGTTGGTATGCACCTGTAGTCCCAGCTACTTGGGAAGCTGAGGCAGGAGAATCGCTTGAACTCGAGAGGCGGAGGTCACAGGGAGCTGAGATTGCACCATTGCATTCCAGCCTGGCGACAGAGCAAGACTTTGTCTAATCTCTGTGCTTTAAAACCTGTCAGTGAGACACTGGGCCCATTTCTCCCGAAGCACTGCACATCTTCTCCTGGGAAGGGCCCTTCTGAGTTCTTTCCCTCCCAGTGCCCAGTGCAACCTGCTCATCAGTGAGCGGTGGTAGAGACTAGAGAAGCTCTTTCCTTTGAACTCATTGATGCCTTCTGCTGTTTATAGATGCATGCCAATCCCCGCATTTTCTAGGAACATTGCTGCATGCCATGGAGTAATAAGGACACGCTGGGTGAATTCTTTATTTTCTCTGCATGAAGCCACTGATCCAGCACTAAAGACTTGGACTGAGCTAAGCCGGCACCTGCGGCTCTGGGAGATGTCAAGCACACTCTTGTTTGTGTTCATGAAGACTTCCCAAAGGACGTAACTGAAAAGAGAGAGGCTTCAGTGCCCATCCTGGGATGGCCGGGCTTCCCCCTCACAAGCCAGCTGTGGGCAACCTGCCAGCCAGGGTGTAGCTGATGCTCATTGAGGAGAAGCTGGGAGAAGCTGCACCTGGCTTCCTGTCATTGCTCATCTGTGATGGTGCCGCTGAGTCTGCTTTGCACACACACAAGTGCATTACATTTAGAAAGGGCTCCCTGAGCACTGGTTATGATGGCTTTGCCCTCACATGTCCAGGAGAGACAGCAGGAAGTCCCCCATTGGCCACTGTGAGTCATCAGGGTCAGGCCACAGGGATCTTTAAATATACATGAGAGTTTAATTTTGAATCACGCTGCAGATCTGAGGAAGGCTGTGGGCTGACAGTCGGCCGACAATATGGTCATACAGTGCAGCATCAGCACTGGGGAAGGTCGCCAGGGAGGACAGAAAAACCACAGCTGCCTCCCCACTGCCGCTTAACCTCAACCACATTCCATATCTCGGTTCTAGTTTCTGTATTTATTCCCTTTCCAACCACATAAATGCTAACTGTCTGCCTCACGTAGTCGTGGAACTACTCACTCATTAAATATATTTGTGTAACAAAAACAACAACAATAATAATGGTGATGGGTAACATTTATCAAGGGCTTACCCTACATATGAGGCACCTTCAGACAGCAGCTCATTTAATCCTGGAATCTCTGACGGTTATGATTTTCCCCAAAGAGCCCACAACATCCTCATTCTCTATTCAGCACAGACTCACCATTTTTTTCGACTGGTACATGGCAGCGGGGACAGGGCTTGGTGGTTTTCTTGATGGTTTCTTTGGAGGCTTCTTCCCAGCGAGCCTGCTCTGCGGCTCTTTCATCAACTCTGTAGGCCTGGGTAAACAAAGAAGAAAGGCATTTAATCTCAGCTCTGTTACTGGGATTGGAGTTTAGGTTCCCTGTACGCTGGTACAGGGAATTGTTGATGACAGGAGTGCCTTCGGGCAAAAAGCCTAAGTACCAATGCATTTGACAAACGCTGGATAACTATTGGGCAGATGGGGATGCTGTCCCTGGCACGTGGCGTGTGCGCAGGAGCGGGGAAAACACCGTTCAGTTTTGTAGTGTGAGCTCCTCTATTCTGTTGTTTTGCATAATTGTAATAAATAACACCTATCAGGTGCTTAACATTCAGGCAAGGTGATCAATGCCCATATACACTCCTCATTAGACACTTCATCAGGTGTGAAGTATCTAGTTTTTATTTCACATTGAAGATTAGATGGGTGAAAACACGGCGCAAAGCTGATAAGTAGGAACATCAGTTGACTCCGGAATCTTTGATTTTAAACTTTGCTCTACATCTTGTTATCTTTCCTTGCACCTGGCAAATGGAGGACTCCAAACGCTGTCACAGAAGGGACAGGAGCAAGAACAGGAAATGAAGTCGATGTGCCAGAGAGGGCAGTGGGAGCTGCTGATAGGTGAGGGTGAAGACTGTGGCCCTGGAGCCAGCTGTCTGGTTCAAACCCCAGCTCCACCCAGGGGAGTGACTCTGGAAACATTCCCTAAGCTCTCTGACAGTCCTCATCTCTTAGATGAAGAATGCCTTGTGCACTGGAGGTATGGAGGATTCTATGAGTTAATTTCTTCAAAGTCTCAGAATGACTCCAGTGTGGCAAGCTCTTGAACACGTTCACTAACATTAATCAAGTCACGAGAGCTGGGTGGTGCCTGCACCATTATGTATAAGCAGGTTTTCTGGTGGGAGAGGAAGCAAGAGGTCCTGGGTTGGCTGGGCTCGGACTCTGTGACCTTAAGGGCCAGCCATTCACTGATTATCCCTAGGTAAGATGCGGCATCATCAAAAACACGAATCCAACCTTTGTCATTTCACTTTCGAATTCTAAACCTCTGTGAAATGTTATAAAGTTTCTGCGCCTTTGAGCATGAAGTATTATGAGGAAAATGACTGCGCTGGATTTAATATGACTGCACTGGATTTAATACTTTCCATGGGAATTCGTGTTCATGTTTCTGTTATTTCCGTGGAAAGTGAATTCTTCCAGGGTACAGATCACGTTTGAGTCATTCTCCTATCTCCAGTTTCTGGCACAGCATCTGGGACACAGCAGGCACTCAGTACCTTTTAGCTGAGTGAATGAATGAATGACACAGCCCAGGAAGGCACTAAACTTTCGGTCATTCAAAATAGGACCCCATGAGATGGGCGGGGCATGTGGGTGCATCCCTGACAGTGATGGGACACCACAGACAAGATTTGCCTAGGGCTGGTCCGTGGGTGAAGCCAATTTGATTTCTGTTAATGAGCCATCATAGGCACAAAGGAAACATCCTCTGATAACTGCAAGGGCATCACGTGATTTGCGAATACTTTCTTGGAATAGCATGGAGTCAGTTGAGCTGCCAGGAAGCAACAGTGGGTCACTGAATGCTTCCTTAGGCTCCAGGACATCCTAAGATCCACTCATGGCAGAGGTCTAGTGAGGACGCTGTGGTTAGTGAAGACCATTTCACAATTTGGTAACTAGGTATGTGTCTTCATGATTCATCTTCCAGTCACCACGGAGTCAGGTGTGATCCTAACTCTCAGTGATACAGAGCAAACACCCCCACCCCCACCCACGTGCGCCTCCCCCCTCATGTTTCACTATTTTCTTTTTCAGGTCTAGGAGTCTGTAGCTCTGTAGCATCGGTTTACAATTACTGATGGCAAGTTGCTAAGTCATACAGATTGGAGAAAAATATGATTTTACTTATTAGAAAATAATTTCAAAATGCCATTTTTTAGCAACATACTGCATGTGGAGGACAATTTCTCCCAGGTTCACACACCTAAAATCGCTGGATCAAATATGGAAAAAAAAAAAAAAGTCTTTTTAAATGCATGGCTGATAGGGTGGGAAGGTAAAGGAAATCCTTAAAGACACAGTAAATCCTCCTGGTTTGGGAGGAAGGGGCCAGGCGTTTGCTGTGGGGCTATCTTCTTAGTCCTGGCTGCCCACCATCTGGGTCTTCCCAGGCCCTAAGGGCACAGGCAGGAGACAAAGCCTCGGACTGGAGCAGGGTGGGAGGTAGAACCCAGTTTTACTACACACGGAGGACCTGGACTCCTGAGGATGATGTCCTCAGTGGAGGAAGCTGGGGAGGAGCCTGCCCAGATAAGAGAATTGACAGACACGTGCTGGTCTCAGGCTGCATTCTGTGACGTGGCAGGTTTGGAAAACATTTTTCTGAACATTCCTAATCATCAAGCCTCAGGCACAGGGTTGGTGAAAAGAATTCATCCTATATGATTAGCTTTAAAGGCCCTCAAGCAAAAAATTAATTTGAAATGTTACCAAATTGGAAGTCTATCCAGGAACCAGGTTAAAGCAAAAGTATCTTCGGTGGAGAAAAGCACTTTAAAAAACCAAACCTCAAAGAAATTACACAAATAAAATTCTAAGAAACCTGGGATCACAATAAAAAAAGTTAATAGGCTAAAACTAGCTACATGAATGACAGTCACAGGATTACTGAAACTACAGAATCTAACCAGCCGAGGCTGTCGATACCGGAATGGCCAGATACAGAGTATTGGCCAGGTGTGGGGGCTCACACCTGTAATACTAGCACTTTGGGAGGCTGAGGTGGGCAGATCATTTGAGGTCAGGGGTTTGAGAAAAGCCTGGCCAACATGGGGAAACCCTGTCTCTGCTAAAAATACAATAATTAGTGAGGTGTGGTGGTATGCACCTTTAGTCCCAGCTACTTGGGAGGCTGAGGCAGATGTATTCTAAGCTGGGAGGCAGAGGTTGCAGTGAGCTGAGATTTTGCCACTGCATGCCAGCCCCAGTGGTGGAGTGAGACTCTCTCAAGAAAACCCCACACAGAGTATAAAATAAATATGTTTGTTATGTTTAAATAAATAAAGGTCATGATAATGGAATATGACAATGTTACAATTAACCAGGGAGATGTGAAAAAGAAACAAATGTCTTTGTTTTGTCCATTTTTCTGGACATTAAACACCAATAATTAAAATTAGAAACTCAGTTGTTGAGTTACATAGAAAATTAGACACAAATGAAGAGAAAATTTGTGAACTGAAAGATGGAGCTGAAAAAATTACGTAAAATGCCAACAAGTGAAAAATAAGAAAAGGAGATTAAGAGTTGGGGGCTAAGGTGAGAAGGTCCAATGTTTTTCTAATTAGAGTTCTAGAAGGTGACAAAAAGAGCATGAGAGGGAAACAGTATTTGGAGACAGTGGCAAAGAAAACACGAATTATCTACAGAGAAGTCACAATTGCTCCTCCAGCTGACTGCTTAATGCATGGGTGCTTGCAGACAGTGGTGGCATCTTCAAAGCACTCCCGGAAAATACCAGCCCACTTAGAATTTGATCCAAGCAAAATTAGCTGTTAAGAATGAGCATAAATAAAAACACAGTCATAAAACACAGCATTTCCTATCAACAGATGATCACTAAAGAAATATGGAAAAAGGAAGAGTCCAGATGGAGCCAGGAGCTTCAAGGAGAAGCTGTGAAGAAAGGAAATGGGTCATGCATGGTAAGTCACAGGAAATACCGATTCTATAAAACAGTAAACGATGCTTAATTTGCTGGTTAAAAAAAAAAAAATCAAAGTAGGCCGAGTGCAACGGCTCACACCTGCAATCCCAGCACTTTGGGAGGCTGAGGTTGGTGGATCACCTGAGGTCAGGAATTTGAGACCAGCTTAGCCAACATAGCAAAACGCTGTCTCTACTAAAAATACAAAAATTAGCTGGGCTTGGTGGCACACTCCTGTAATCCCAGCTACTTGGGAGGCTGAGGCAGGAGAATCTCTTGAACCTGGGACGTGAAGGTTGCAGTGAGCTGAAATCACGCCACTGCACTCCAGCCTGAGCAATGGAATAAGACTTCATCTCAAAAAAAAAAAAAAAAAATTAAAGTAGAACTAGATGCTGGACAAGAATAGCACAGAAGTGTGAGAACTGGATGATGCTAAGATGCTGGCATGATTCAGGCAGAGGGTCATTAGATTTTTTTACATTAATATATGGTTACATTCTAGGGTAATCAATAAAATAAAAGAGAGAAAGCATTTTCCTTCTAAACAGGGAAAAATACAGTAGAAAAGACAAACAAAAGAGTTATTCAAAAAGAAGGCAAAAAGCAAAACTACAGAAATGTAGAAAATAATAGAAAGTATAAAATTAAATGGCAGAAATGACTGCAACTATCCCAGTACTCACAACCGGTGTGGACAGTTGATCACTGAGGGCAGGGCTTGCGAAACTCTGGAGTCTTAGCGCTTATCTGGGAGGCCTTGTCTGCAGGAGGAGCACTCAGGGGCTGAAGTCTCTGACTCAGGTGTGTGCACCTAAAGCCTTGGTTCCATGTTGCCAAGTTAAGAGCATTTTAACCGGATGCATACAATGTTTATTCTAACAAGGCATGTTATACTCAGCCCAAGAGGAAGATTCAGAGCTCAACTTCACGAAACCTCCTGCCTGTCAGTAGCACATTATTGGAGGGAAATTACATATTGGTAACTTGCAAATTTATATTAACATGCTTTGTTCTTTCCAGGAAGAAAGATTAAAATTATGGCAAAGGAAATGAAATAATTGCTTTTCAAAATACCAATGTTCTCTGACTTCTGATACCTAGGGCACACGAAGCAGAGTGGGTGTAAGTGCAGGCCCACCAGGAAGCCACTGGGATTTCCCCAGAGAGCCCTGGATCTAACGTCTCCAGCAGCAAAGGCCCCTTCAAATCAGGGCACTACGAGCTTAGTACCAAGGAGTGATTTCAAAAGACTCCGTGGGTAAACATTTCCACACCAGAGTGCATGGAGCTAGTGGATGGGCTAGTTCACTCAG